GACGGCGGCGCCCACGCCGAGGACGACGACGCCGCGGCGCTGCGGCGCGGCGACGCGCTGTGGCGGCGCCGCGCGCTGCCGCGCGCGCTCCGGCGGTGGCGCGCCGAGGCGCGCATCGCCGCGACGGAGCGGCTCTTCGACGCGACCCTCGACGAGCGGAGCGCGGCCCGGGCCCTGCGCCGGGGCCTGAGACGCTGGCGCGCCGCGGGCGGCGGCCGCGGCGACCGGCGGCGGGCCGCGGCCGCGGGCGCGGCGCGCGTCGCGCGCCTCGTCGCGCGCCGCGCGGTCCGCGCGCTCGCCGCCGCGGCCGCGGCGTCGCGGCTCCTGCGCCGCGCGGAGACGCGCTGCGCGGCCCGGGACCGGCGGCGCCGCGCCGGCGCGGCGCTCGCGGCCTGGGGCCGCGCGTACGCGCGGGCCGCGCGGGCCGCGGCCGCGGACGACGGCGACGCCGCGCGCGCGGCCGCGGACCGCCTCGACGCCGCCGTCTGCGCCACGCACGGCGTGCCCGACGCGCGGGCCCTGGACGCCGAGGCCGCGCGGCTCCGCGCGACGCTCGGCGGCCGCGCGGCCGCCGCGGCGTCGTTCGCCGACGCCGCGGCCGCCGCGCGCGAAAACGCGGCGAAGCACCGCCGGCGCCGGGCCGCCGCCGAGGCGGCCCTGGCCTCCGCCGGCGACCAGGCGCGGGCCTACGGCGAGGCGCGCGCGGCGCTCCGGGCCGTCGCGCGGTGCGAGAGCGCGCGCGACGCGGCGCTCCGGGGCCGCGCGCGCGCCAAGTGCGACGCCGCGCGGGGCGCCGTCGCCGCGCTCGAGCGCGAGTGCGCGGACCTGACGACGGCGGCGGGCAAGGCCAAGCGGCGCAGCGAGGCCGCGGACCGCGCGCTCGGCGCCGCGGCGTCGGAGACCGCCGCGAGCCTCGCGTCCGCGCTCGCGGTGAACGCGGACCTCGCGACGCTCCTCGAGGCCGCCGAGGCCCGCGAGCGCGACGCCGCGGGCGCCCTCGACGAGCTCAAGGGCGCCGCCGCGGGGCTCCGGGAACGGCTCGAGAGCGCGAAGCGCGAGCGCGACGACGTCGACGTCTCCGAGATCGGCGAGCTCCGGCGCCGCTACTGCCGCAACGCGGACCTCCAGGTCGTCCTCGCGCGCGAGAAGACGCGCGCGCACCTCGCCCTCTCCGAGAGCGTCCGCGCGAACCGCGCGGACGACGGCGACGGCGCCGGCGACGCCGTCCGCCGCGCGCGCCGCGACCTCGTCGACGCGCTCCACGACAAGCGGGACCGGCTCCTCCGCGCCGCCGCGGCCCACTCCGACTCCGACTCGACGCGGCCCGGCTCCCTCTCCCGCGCGTCCTGGACGCCCGGCCGCGGCGCGGACGACGACGCGTCCTCGACGCCGCCGTCGTCGGCGACGTCGTCGGCGCTGCTCTAAGTTCCCGCGACGACCTTAGCCGAGTCCCGAAGCGACGTGGGCCGACATGGCCACTTGTGCCTTCGCGTCGCCCCTCATGGCCCGGTCGTAGGTGATGCACTCCCGCGCGCTGAGGTGCGCCGGGCACTTGACCTCCGCGGCGCGGAGCTTGCCGATGAGCTCGTCCGCCTCCTGGCTCTTCGTCAGCGACTGGCGGGACCCGCCGACGCGGACGCACTCGCCCGCCTTCTTCCGGAAACCGGGATCGCAGCGGCTGTTCCGCGCGTAGTACTTGTCCGCCCGCGCGCCGCCCTTGCGCACGGGCACGTCGCCGATCTGCGACTTGTGGATGACCCCGCGCGCCGTGTCGTGGCCCCGGTGAAACACCGGGCTCACCCTCCGCGCCGTCTTCACGGCGGGGACCTGCACGAGCCGCCGCCGCTCGACGGCCGTGGCGTTGGGCTCGGCGGCGCCCCGCCGGACGGCCG